AGAGCTGCAGCTTATTGATATGCTGGTTTATTTTATACCTAAAGTGAGTGCACTATTTTAACTTGATAAATACAGATTTTAAGGATATTTTGCTCCATGAACTTTGGCCTTTTACATGTCTTTGTGTTATGTGTGTGGAATGGGAGTTAACAATGGAAATACATCTTCTGCAGGCACAGTCTGAGATTTATCCCTCAAGCATTAATAGCCACTCAGTAGTATGAGAGCTATTTGGTCCTGGTAAGCATCTAATTCTATCCCTATCTCTGTTGGATATTTGGGAGCTATCCTGGAGACCAGTTACTTCCAGCACTTCTTTTGGACTTGCTTTGAGCACAAGAGCACTTATATTCATTGGACTTACTGTTTTTGTCTCACCACCTGTATGTAGTTATTTGAGCGATTTCATGGGTTTTTTTTACATGGTATATTTATATGTGACATATCAGTCCTCTTATGTCTTATCACATGAAACACATTTATTTAGAGTCTGTTATGTTTGATACACTTTGATAGCGCTTCATAGTATATATTGTTGTTTATGGCAGGTATCGTATCTGGAACCTTCTGCTGGCTGCTTTTTCTTTAATAGTGAGGAATTTTTCACAGATATAAGAGAAAACGCAGTACATTGATCTCCCGAATGGAGAGCTGTGCAGGGGGTGTGCATCAGCACGTCTGTCCACTGGAGTACAGGCAGGTTGTGGCCCCAAGTAGAATGCAAACAAGAAGAATGATCATGCAGGGATGGATGTGCTTCCTTGCCCAGGCATGGTCAGGTTGAAATAGGAAAGCAGGGGGACTGGAAGGATCACCGGATATTTCACACAAAGGAAGCAATGCAAAGAGAACAGCATACTTTTAATGCAAGTTATTGGTAACACAGACACATATCAAGAATATGAAATGTTGGGGTAATATGCACTTTAAAGTTCCACCTAAAAAAATAAATAAATAAAAGTCAAAAACTGTAGCTGCTGACTTTTAAAATACAGACACTTACCTTTCCCTCGGTCCAGCAGTGTCTTCACCACCGCTGGTTTCACTGGCCGTCTTCTCGCCCTGGAGCTGGCATCTTTGGTGTGGGCACCCGACTGTGACAGCTTGCGGCTTCACAGCTGGGTGCCCACTGCGCATGTGCGAGAAGCGCTGTGCTTAGTGATTTGCCCTGTAGTCTTCTGGGACCTGTCCCAGAAGACTACAGGGAGGGAGGGGGGGAGGACAGCCTCCGGTCGCCTAGGTGATCGCAGCGGAAGTGGGAGCGGGTAACTGTCAAATTCGGGTACCGACTCCCCAAAGGTGCCAATCCTTAATGGGGAGAGCGGGGGACAAAGGCTTGAAGTGGAACTTCCCCTTTTGGGTGGAGCTCCGCTTTAAGCTTAGTGGCTCTTTGTTTACCATAGCAGTTTGCAATAAACAGAGCAATTTTCATTGAGTGGACGTTGGAAGTGAACCCTGAATGATTGATTTTGATCTAAATAATACATAACATTCTTCGTTGCTTGCATTCATGTATCAGGAAGTATAAAGACCCTGTTATTAGAGTCAGCTGAATGTTTCCCTGTGTCTTTTTTCCAATTTCTAATTACATATGAATGCCGAGCAGTTTGTTAATAGTTTGATTATTAGGAACTAGCAATGCAGATCTGTTTTCAATAACTTGAGTCTGGCTTTCCTGCTTTGCTAGTTTTTTCCAAAGTGATTCTGGATGATTGAAACAAATACTTTACATATACTGGGATAAACATTAGGGCTGCAACTAACGATTATTTTTTATAATCGATTAGTTGGCCAATTATTGTTTTCATTAAAGTGATTCTAAAGGCTTATTTTTTTTAAGAAAAAGTAACAAACATGTCTATACTTATCTGTGTGCAGTTGTTTTGCACAGATCTGCCCAGATCCTTCTCTCAGGTCCCCCGCAGGCTCTCTTGGCTCCTCCCTCCTGTCGGGTGCCCACACAGCAAGCTTGGGGCACCCGCTGCTCCGTGTGTCCATTCACACACAGAGCTGCAACTCAGTCCCAGCCCCACTCTCTTTTCATTGGATCACTGGCTGTGATTTGACAGCAGTGGGAGCCAATGGCTCCCACTTGTGTCTCAGTCAATGAGGAGAGGGAGTCCTGGGATATTCGAGACTCTAGTGCACAACGCTGGATCAAGAGGGGGCTTAGGTGAGCATTAGGGGGGGCTGGGGGGATGCTGCACAGAGAAGTTTTTTACCTTCATGCATAGAATGAGCCTTTACAACCACTTTATTTAATAGGATAGAAACCTCAAAAAAAGTTTGGTGTATAATTTAGTTATTATGTAAAGTTCAAAAAAAGGACAATTTATTCTTGAATATCTGTGTGCAGTGGTAAATACAAGTAACCAGCCCTATGGTTAGAGAACAAAATGTCCAATCCACTCAGAGAATAACAGACGGAGGAGATATATATACTTTTAGAGGTTGAATATGTACAGATCATCAGATCAAAATTTTTATTTAAAGAAAAAAATAAAAAGACCAAAAATGCTGTTTTGCAGATTTTCAGACAGGATTGTAATATAATTCTCCCTTGTCTTTGGCAGGTAGCTTGATGCACGCTACCTGCACCTGCTGTCACTTACTGTATGCTGGCCATACACAAACACATTGTTCCATAAAAAAAATTTCATTTTAAGTGAAATTTCAAATGACATTCATCGAATGTATAAAAAATGTTATCTGAATATTCTCAGCCAAAAATGGATATGTGTATGGCCAGCATAAGACATTTAGTAGCAGCAGTATGCATTCTTTATCATCTGTCCTGATGGGTTCAAAAAAAACAAAAAAATTAGCCCTTTATAGTACAAAAATAGCAGATAATTACTACTATAAGGGGTTAATTTATATTGTGAAACATAATAATAAATATACCCTCAGGTAGGATATACAGGGTATTTTAAAGTGGAAGTTAACTCCCACTGGACACTTGTACCTACAGGTAAGCTTATAATAAAGCTTACCTGTAGATACACGGAATATCTCCTAAACAGTTTCTCTGCAGCCGATGATGTCAACGTCGCATATGCTCTGAAGAAACCGCATACCTGTGCGTGTGAGTGACGTTATAGTGGGTCGGCCAATGAAGCAGCCAGAACCCGCGAATCCGCAAGGAAGCCCTGTTGGTGACAGCGCGCCGCTGTGGGGCATCGTTCTAAGGCAAGTCTTTCATAATGTGCTACTATGCGATGCATACTAGCACATTATGAGATTATTTTGCAGGAGAAATTTTTTTACATTTTTTGGGTGGTTTACTACTGCTTTAACTACTGCCCGGGTATGACCCTATATGAAGGGTGGAGGGGAGATATAAATCTTTTTTATTAAAGTAGTACTAAGGGTGGAGACTTTTTTCATGGATATAATAATTTCTAAATATAATGCACAATACTGGTAAACTTTTACTTTATCTTTAACTGTAATGCCTTATATTACCTTCAGTCTATCAGCCTCTCCAGCTTCTCTGAGTTCAGATGCTGATCTTCCCTGCAGAGATCCCTTAAAGTGATTGTAAATTGATTTTTTTTTTATCTACAAACTTGTCATACACACCGTACCTGCTCTGTGCAATGATTTTACACAGAGCAGCCTCAATTTTCCTGTCTGGGGTTCCCCACTAGAACTGGTTCCTCCTGTCTTGCACCCCTTTATCAAGCCACAAAGTATAGTATAGAGTGCCCCTATAGCAAGGCAGAAAAAATGTCTGCCTTTAGAATCACTCACTTCCTTCTCCTACCCAGGACTACATGTCCCATGAGGCATTGCTCCCACATTCACTAGTTCTCAGGCACTTACTGACATGTGTGAATGGTGAAATGAGTTGTATGTGTGCTGCACTGATTATACTGACATGTATGGATGGTGTACTGAGCTGTATGTGTGCTGCACTGTTTATACTGACATGTATGGATGGTGTACTGAGCTGTATGTGTGCTACACGTTGTATTCTGACATGTATGAATGGTGTACTGAGCTCTATGTATGCTTTACTGTGTATACTGACATGCATGAATGGTGAAATGAGCTGTATGTGTGCTGCACTGTTTATACTGACATGTATGAATGGTGTACTGAGCTGTATGTGTGCTGCATGTTGTATTCTGACATGTATGAATGGATTACTGAGCTCTATGTATGCTTTACTGTGTATACTGACATGCATAAATGGTGAAATGAACTGAATGTGTGCTGCACTGACCATTTGGAAACTCAGGCACTGCCCGAGGGCCCGGGTCAGTAGGGGGCCCTATGAGATCCCACTGGTACCTTTTTCATAGACTTTTTTGAGTTTGGCCAAGGACACAGGGACCACATGATCACCTATTGCCCGGGGGGCCCCATGAGTTGTCAGTCCGCCCCTGGCTGCACTGTTTATACTGACATGTATGGACGGTGTACTGAGCTGTATGTGTGCTGCACTGTTTTTTCTGATATGTAAACAAATCATGCATTCTGTATTCAGGCCAGCTAATAGGCTGACCAACTATTCGATTATGAAAACAGACTATATTCGATTATGTTGATTAGTTGTTTCAGCCCTAATAAACATGAAACGTCACATTCTGATGCTGTACTAAGCTTCTAAAGGTCTGGTTTGGTTGAGTGTAATAGCCACCATACTTAAAGCTGTGCTGGTAAATATATAAAACTAAGCAGTCAGTTTTACCTGCCAAATGATTTATATTTTATGTCTATATAGTCCTGAGAATAACACAGCTCTGTCACACAGGGCCCAATTCAGGCAATTAAACCGCTTGCATTTAAAAAATACATTCAATAATTTATTAACACAGCTGCATTAATTAATGTCTCATATTTCGACCTGGAGTTTAGCGTTAAGTAAACTTCTCCTAAAGGATATCTAGGGGTTGACATTGCTGACCTCCCACTGAATGTGCTTGCTGCTTTGTTGTTACACTGATGCAGGATCAGAAAGGTTAGCACTCTTTCTATGCATACTTTTTCCAGATAGCCTCCCTGGCGGTATTCCCGAGTGTAGCTCGGGGTAAAGTTTCAGTACCACAAGCGGTAACCCGAGCTACACTCAGGAATACCATGCGGCGCTGCTCCGTGATCCCTCGATCACTTACCTTGTCCTGCGCTCCCACGATGTCCCTCCTGCAGTGTCCCTGGCAATGTAATCCGGCGGATGCCGGCATCTGTCTTCTGGGTTCCGTCCCCTGCGAGCGTTGGGACGTACGGGGACGGAACGGCGGGAAATTTGAAAATGACAAAAAGTGACATTCACTAGTAAAACATTACTGTATCAAACCATTTCACATACATTTTGTCCCTAGTGCTTTGTCCTGTGCCCTGCCTGCATTTTTACTGTTCTTTCTGCCTGGAAACTGAGAAATGTCCATGGCGTCCAAAAAGTGTCCCTTTAGGCCAAAAGCGGTTTTAGACCAGCTAGAGAATAGCGATAGTAAATCAGAACCACTTGCAGAATTGAGTGATAATGATTTGTGGGGAAATTCGTCATCAGACACTGAAAACAATTTTGCGACTTTGCTCAGTGATGTGCGAACTTGGCGCTATATTTCAAATTTCAGTGTTTTTGGTTTGATTATATTATTGAATTAAATTTATTATTATTATATTATTATTTTTTATGATTATTTATTAAATTATAATTTATGATTTCGTGTTTCAAGTTGTATCCTACTCGGGATGTTTACTAGACTCTTGTTCGGACAGATTTCAGTGAGTTATTCCTAAGAATTACAGGCCTACAATATAAAACGCCAAATTTCCATGCAAAATAATGGTACCGCTTTTAGCACCAAAAATCTGAAATAATCATACCGCCAGGGAGGTTAAAGGTTGGTGATGCAAAATATTGAATCCTAGAGGTTAGCATAACAGGCAATAAACTTGGTATTTTTAGAATGAGAAGACAGGATTATGAAGTTTTCAAGTCCCTTGGTTTGTTTGTAAAAAGGTTTGGTGGTAAAGATAACTTCACCAAAAAACTTTAGTATTTAATATGTATTAGGTTAGAATCTGATGATAGCTAAATATGACTTTGTTCTGTATACCGTTTCAGGTCCGAAAGGCCCTATGTGTCACTGGAACACATAAAAAATGGCAGTTGACTAGTGCAAAACCACCTAAAAAGTGGTTAATTGAAATCCTATGCGGAGTAATATCACTACAAAAGTGGATGTGATATTGTATTTATTTGATCACATAGATCGTGAAAAGGGTTGACATTGACAGGGTGAACATATTGCTATCATATTAAAATCAAAGAATTAAAATAAAGAACCGTTCGGCGTCTTCAAAAACGGCTGTATGGGTAAAAATGATCCATATGAGGCAATAGAATTTCCTTTCTGTATTCATCTGCAGTAAAGTTCCATATTGTAAGGCCTAGTAAAGTCTTTTTCTTCTTAAACTGTTCCTACATGAACAGTTCTGACGAAGTATGCGATGATTGGCGGACGAAAAGTGTCAAGTGTCAACGTAATGACATCATCTATTGCCTCATATGGATCATTTTTGCCCATACAGCCGTTTTTGAAGATGCCAAACGGTTCTTTATTTTAGTTCTTTGATTTGAATATGTTTGCAATATGTTCACCCTGTCAATGTCAACCTTTTTCACGATCTATGTGATCGAATAAATAATAATATCGCATCCACTTTTGTAGTGATATTACTCCGCATAGAATTTCAATTAACCACTTTTTAGGCAGTTTTGCACTAGTCAACTGCCATTTTTTCTGTGTTCCAGTATATTCAGGTTTATAATCCACACTTTCATTCGAAGTGAGTCGGAGATATTATTTAGATACAGTTATCGTATCAAATTGGATGGCACTTTTCCTTTTTTGACCTATGCGTCGCTGTCATGTCCCATTACACTTGATTCAAAATATTAAAATAATTTTTAGTACTGAACGTGATAAATATAAGCAAATAAATTCATTTGACGAAAACTTGCTCTGATGAAGCCAAAGGGGCTTTCATTGGAAAAATGCATTCAAGAGTCTTTAAGAAATTTAAGAAATGTATTAAAGTACAGCTTACTTTTTATTTGCACTATGCTTTGATGATGACTTGGTTGTCCTAAAGCTACAATCCTTGTATAGATAGGCAGCCATATATAATCATTTTCACTGCATCTTATTTTCTATCTTAGGTTGGTGGTTTGTCAGCACAGCAGAAGAGCAAGGCTGGGTCCCTGCCACCTATCTAGACTGCCAGAGTGGGTCTAAAGATGATTCTGAAATCCACACATCTAAATCTGGTGACGGTAAGTGTTTTCTTTTATGTATCATTTTAGAATTTGCTTTTGATTGCCTTTCCCGTGTTCAAGTCAGTCTTTATTTCTTGCAACCAATTGCCAGCAGAGTAGACTTTGAATGTTCACTCAGCGGTAGTCATTCAGCAATAGATAAACACTACAGGGTGTTCATGTATAGTTGCAAACCTGCTGTGAGCAAACCAGTTTAAACTGTACAACTGACTCTACCCCTCCCAGCTTTGATCTTTGAGAGTTATATGTTCTTTTGAAATCATTTAGCATATGCAGTACTAAATCGTTTACAGCTCAACCTCAAAATACACAATACTGCTGTGTTACTGAATGACTTAATTATTCCAAGTCTTTTTTTTTTTTTGATAACTGTTTTTGATATTGGTGTTTTTAAGGATATGTGGTGTGTACAATTTTTAGAACATAGCAATATATTATTTTCATAGTATAAACAGAGCTTAGAACTAGGGATGCACCGATACCCATTTTTGATTGGCGAGTGACCATGATGGAGCTGACCAATCAAAAGCCATCTAGCCCATACTGTCACAGAGAGGGGAGAAAGCTGCAAGGATTTCAAATCCCCAGACCTGTGAAATGGCTTTTCCTTTTGTGACAGCATAGGACTGTGTGAATTCAGGCTATGACAAGCTTGGGTTCACAGAGGAGCAGTGGGGAAAATGCATGTAATTTGGACAGGAATCGTACCGCATTCCTGTTCAAAGCGCACTCTGTTCTTTACAGTGCAATTTGCGTCCATACATTTTGTATTGACACAAATCGCACCGCAAAGTATCAGTTTTGGGTATCGGGAACATTATCACGAGTACTCGTGAAAATACCCGTGTCTGCACCAATTTCGGGAACAGGATCCATGCATCCCTACTTAAAACTATACAATTTACATTGTATTGTCATATTTACAGTATTAGCCTAAAGTAAAATTGCAGCCTGTCTTCATTTGTTTTATTTCTTGGCAGACTTGTTTCAGTGACTCAGCAGAACAGAGATGTCATCTGGACAATGTCAGTTTTGCTCATCTCTTTAGTATGACTTCTAGAAGGCCATACATGCATGTAGTTGTGATGGTTTAACTGGGATTTTTAAATATATGAACAAAAGGAAATCTCAAATTACCTTTTTGTAAAAAGAGAAGTGTAGCCAAACTTTTTTTTTTTAGCTGTGCTTCTCTTTTTGGACACAGGAGTCCACTTACTAATGTTCTCCTGTGACCCAGAGTCAGCTTATAGCAAGTAATTGCTTGCTATCAGCTGACAGAGCAGAGCCACAGCAAGTTTGGGAAGGAGCTGGAAAATATTGTCTGAATCGACTGGATGACTACTTGACAATTGGTTCCACCTTCCAGAGCTCCGGTGAAGACTGGAGTAGTAGAGCATGGTGCATTGATTGGAGGTCACTGGACTCCACTGCTTGCACTCTGGGGACTGACTGGTAAGTGGTCAGCTGATTACTCTCAGCTCTTGGTCTTTGAGCCAATGTGGTACAACTGCAGTGTTACATGGATGCTGCAGCATAGAGTTGACTGTGTATGTTTGGTTTTATACTAATTACAATCATCTACCCTAATAAAAGGTAATGATAAAGATACTAAAGCTACCCATAGGGATGAGATTACAGAAACCTAAAGATAATCTCACTGTCTGGGAGAGGAGTCAATCAGATTGATTTGTAAATGCATCATAAAATGAATATGTAATGCCAGCAGTGTCTGTCCTCTCCTCTTTATTCACAAGAACTGTAACAGCCAAATGTTTATATGTGACAGTTTGAGGGAACAAGGGTGCCTGTGAGCAGGTGAATGGATCTAGACCATCCTGTCAGCCATCAACTCTTCAGCAGTTTTGTGAACTCTTTTCAGGTTTACAGTTTCAAAAGTTAGAGTAATCTAGTACAAAAATTAAAATGCTAACAAAATCAAAGTTAATGTTTTTAAAACATGTTTATATTATGTTTTAGTGTTCATGCCAAAAGCCTTATAGTAGATCAGCATGATGTGAGGTTGACCCATCTACCTTAAAGTTTGCCCAGAATTAAATTTTTTTATTGAATATTGATGGAGTCTGCTGGTCTTAGTCACCCACTGGTTATTGTTAACTCTAGCAGTAAAATATACCCACCATATTTTCCCCTTCTCTTTCTGTACACCTTGAAGTTTCATTCCTTCTGTTCCACTACTGTTTCTCTCTCCATTATATAAAAGAAATTCAAATGCAACAGCGAAGGCAAGACCCCCTTGCCTGCAGAAGGGTATGCAAATTTGAAAACCTCACTTACAGAAGTCTGACAAAAAAAAGGCTAAAGAATTAGTTAGGGTCTTTGGATCAGTGCTTTTGTTCACATCAAGCTGGTTTTTTGTTCCAATACAAGTCAATGGGAATTCAAACCTCTGCTTGAAGGAGAAATCAGTTCAGAAGGAGGTCAACTGCAGGTCAGATCCAAATGTCAATGAATTTTGAATGATCTCAGAAGCTTCTAAAACCAATGTCATGATATGAGCCCATATCCTGTCAACCCAGACTCATATAGTTTTAGGTGGCCTGCACTTTATATTCCTGTAGTGCAAGGAAGAGAGCAGGAGCCAGCTGTAACTACAGTTTATGATAAAGACCAGTAATTAATTTCAGTTCCACCACCATTACACCACACACGTGCACTCAGTATTTGTTGATATTACAGAAGTGAGTGGGAAGAAATCAGTAGTAGAAAATTCTGCTCATGGTAGTGCCATGACTATTTTGAATTAGAAAACAAACATATCATTAGTTTCATTAATGTATTGAGAGGAAAGAAAGTCAGAAATGTTGCTGTGGCCAAAGGCTTATTTTATGCAGATAGGTATTGAAAAATGTGTAATTACGAAGGTTCTTCAAATAGTTTCTGCACTTTTTTAAAACTCTATTATATATATAAAATTGCAGAAACGTTTTGAAGACCCCTCATACATTAGGAAAATAAAGGACCTGAAGTGCCTTTAGCTGAGTGACTTGTAGGCTCTTTAAAGGTTTGATTATCTGTATGAATTTTTAACACCATTATATCTACCTATTTTTTGTACCATTTAATTTTTGGTGGCAGTAAAGACACCAACCAAAAAAACAATATGTGCTGCATCACTTGTAAATTTTCCCTTCAACCCCTAGCAAATATTCTCAAATACCTAAATGTGCAATATGCCGTTTTAGGAGAGATCAGACTCCACATTCCATAGCTACATCTCAGGTACTGGAAAGTAATTAGTGGTATTGCTAATAGGAATCACTTGTTGGTGGTACAGTGATACCATTGCACACAGAAATGCAAACTAATAATATTTCCTTATTATAATACCCATCAAGAACATGTATTCTTATGCATCTCACACTAGGCACAGCACTTTCTTTGAGAAGATTCTGTGCCCAGAATGAAATGTGTTAGCAATACCTGTTCCTGCTGGCTTTTTTAATAAAGGAAGAATATTAATTTGCACCTCAGTGTGCAGTTGTACACGTGGTGAAAGTGCTGTTGCATTGTTCCTGCATTCAGAGAAGCTTTGTCACCCTAATATAGGCTCTACCTACCTTCACTACAGTAGGATAAGAATGTGTTTCAGGGAGCCTGGCTATCAGTAGTGTCACTGCCAATTCACAAGCCTGTAGTTCATAAATTAGCAGCTAGCGACACTTATTCCTGCCCACTACTTTCTAGAATAACAGAACTGCCTCTGTCTCTATGCAGCTTTTCAGTTTCACTTGATTTAAAGATATCCCTAGACACAATGGGGTTTATTTACTAAAGCTGGAGAGTCCAAAATCAGACTCCCTTCTGCATAGAAACCAATCAGCTTCTAACCTAAGCTTGTTGAAGAAGCTTTGGCAATGAAACCTGGAAGCTGATTGGTTTCTATGCAGAAGGGAGTCTGATTTTGGACTCTCCAGCTTTAGTAAATAAACCCCTATATGACAATCTTGTTATTGTCCATTATTCAAACCAGGTGTTGGCTAATAGCAGCTCTCATCACAGGCAGGTGAGATGGGTATTTTCTTCCTGATTTTTTTTATTTAACTATTTTGTGTTACAGCAAAAAATAGGAATTTGCTTTTGGTCGCTGGTCACACTTTTTAGCAGAAATTTGGGCAATATTTGCCATTTGTTCGATTAGTCTTCCCAAATTTCACTCAATATAGACCTAATTATTACTTTATGTCATGCATGATGTGTTTTATCTCTAAAACAAGGATGGGCATACATGTAATAACATTCTTATACCATCTCAAACCATGTATTTGTGAAAAAAAAAATGGGCTGTTGTCAAATAATGTTTGGAATGGTTTTTCCATATAGCCAGGATCATTTTCCCTCTTAAACCATCTATTCATCACTCCATACCAGTGTGAAAATACAACTCTCATGTCACTAATATTGGCATATTGACCATTTTCATGTAATGTGTTCTTTTTTTATTATTCACATCGTTCTATTGTGTTTTTCTTTTGTTTGTCCCCTCATGTCTCCATTCATCTCCTCCGTTAGTAACTAAGAGACGCAAGGCTCATCTAAGGCGCTTGGACCGACGTTGGACACTAGGAGGCATAGTCAACAGACAACAGAGCCGAGGTGATTAACTGCATCATCCATTCTTGTCACTAAGAATAATATGAGTGTTGCTTGATCTTTATAAAGATTCCAAAGGCGTTTTATGGTGTGGGTGTCTTAGCACTTCTTTTAATCTAGTTTGCACATACAATACTCTTATGCATTTTTCTGTTTCACTTTCTGATGCATGCCTATTTAAGCACATTGTTTTAATTATGAGACCGAGCACTTACCTTTTACAGATAATTTAAAATGAATGGTTAACGTGTTACTAAACCCACAACAGGAAAATGTGTCTGTATACGCAGTAAAATATGCTTGTTATACTCACTGTGGAACCTAAGGGGTTAATCCTCTGCATTGTGTAAAAATGCTGTTTGATCCTGACTTCTCTGATCCTCCCC